TTTACTCCGCTGTGGCTCCGAGGCGCCGTCGGAAGCGGGGTAGTTTTACGTTTGTTCAAACAACGCGCGGTAAGAATGGGCTCGTGGTACAATCAATTTCGAACTCGCAATGCACATATACATTCTCACGATGCGCACACAGTTTAGTGTTATACGCAGTGGTCGCGTGCCCGTGCGTGTGCGCGCCGATGTGTGTGTGCGCGCGCGCCGATGTGTGTGTGTGTGTGCGCCGATGTGTGTGTGTGCGTGCGCCGATGTGTGTGGGTGCGTGCGCCGATGTGTGTGTTAGTGCGCGCGCCGATGTGTGTGTGTGCGCGCGCGCCGATGTGTGTGTGTGTGTGCGCCGATGTGTGTGTGTGTTAGTGCGCGCGCCGATGTGTGTGTGTGCGCGCGCGCCGATGTGTGTGTGTGTGTACGCGCGCGCCGATGTGTGTGTGTGCGTGCGCCGATGTGTGTGTGTGCGTGCGCCGATGTGTGTGTGTGTGCGCGCGCGCCGATGTGTGTGTGTGCGTGCGCCGATGTGTGTGTGTGTGCGTGCGCCGATGTGTGTGTGTGTGCGCGCGCGCCGATGTGTGTGTGTGTGTGCGCCGATGTGTGTGTGTGTGCGCGCCGATATGTGTGTGTGTGTGCGTGCGCCGATGTGTGTGTGTGTGTGCGCCGATGTGTGTGTGCGCGCGCGCCGATATGTGTGTGTGTGCGCGCGCGCTGATGTGTGTGTGTGCACCGATGTGTGTGTGTGTGCGCGCGCTGATGTGTGTGTGTGTGTGCGCCGATGTGTGTGTGTGTGCGCGCGCGCCGATGTGTGTGTGTGTGTGCGCCGATGTGTGTGTGTGCGCCGATGTGTGTGTGTGTGTGCGCCGATGTGTGCGCGCGCGCCGATGTGTGTGTGTGCGCGCGCGCATCTCTCGGTATGGCCAGATGGAGAGGGGTGAACGGGCATGGCACAGGCCGGGGAGGATGTTGGGCTGATGTGCCCCGGCGAGATGTGGAGCTGAGTGGACCTACCGATCGCGGGCACCTCTGATTAGCTGCGTACGGTGCGAAATAAGTTATACGTACGTACATACAAGCGGTGTCAAGATCGGCCTATGTGGAAGAGGCTCGTGAAGGACGCGACCGGGCAGTTGGAGGCAGTCGCCGTCCAGAAACAATGGGGGGGCGGAGGAGAGACGCTCACCGCATCGAGCGGAGCGCCGGGCGGCTAAAACGCAGCGAGTTGGCGCAGTAGGGAACCCAGGTGGTGCATCTGCCAATCGTCTCAGTCAGTCAACGCCATGGTAGCCGGGTCTGGCACTTGCCCCAGAAAAGCCTGTTCAAGCCTGTACGGGGGGGGGGGGATCTTTGTCTTTATATGCAGATGACACGTGCTCACGAGAGACCTGAGCAGTGGCAGCTCACGCCAACATTAGTGGCATTCTGGGTTTTAATACAGGAAGCCCCCACCCCCCGATCCCCCCCCCCAACCTCGTGATTTAATTTGAATACAGGGAGCCCCCCCCCCCCGATCCCCCCCCCCCAACCTCGTGATTTAATTTGAATACAGGGAGCCCCCCCCCCGCCCACCTCTTGATTCAATTACAATTATTGTCTCGGCCTAATCAGAAACGATTGCACACACACCAACAACAACAACAACAATCACGTGAAAGGGTTTTTGTTGTTGTTGTTGTTGTGGTCGTTGACAATCAAATTGGCCGTACGTCAGATCTGACTGGCAGAGTGATTTTTTTTTCTTCAAACATCTCTCTATGACCGACACGCTCGGCGAACCCGACCCTATCCCGCACGCAGGACGGAGAGACGTCTTCGTGGCGAAAGACCTCTCCCCGCGTCCCGCTGGGCTCGTTGAATCAGTTGCGTACCACCCCGCCAGGGCGTACGATTTTACAACAACAACAAAAATACGCGGTCATCAACGACAAAGCTGGAACAAACAAACAAATAACTGGAAAGCGTGCAGAGGGGAAGCTCCCTGGCAAACATGCCCGCTTGGAATTACGTTCGCGGGCTAGAAAGCCGGGCGAGTGGATTCAAGAGCACACGCGTAGTTAATGACACCATCCTAGCGGTTAAGGGAGTGGTGGTGCATTGTCTTTGAGCTGTACGCCTTTTGGCGTCATCAGGTCGAGCACCAATTGAGACGAGGCTCAAAATAAAGCTGTCTCTGGTGTGGACAAATCAGTTTCAAGGACAATGCATATATTATCAGAGTGTGTCTTTTGTTTGCATTTTGACTGCAAGTATTGTGGTTAATGCACACATGATTCCTTGTAAAAAGGTTTCAGTTTTGTTGCCAGAAAAAAGGGGTAAAACCCCCTATCATTATGGAGTGGTGGGGCTTCAGCAGACAGCGTCACCGGCTAGAAGGCACGATGGCGGACAGTCCAGACTAGTCGCAGAGTGGCGGTCAAGGAATGGAACGAGTCCAGGATGGCGCCCGCCGAGGAGATGGAGTGATAGAATCGGCTCGCCTTCATCCAGCAGCGGATTGATCGTGGCCGAAGATGAAGATGACATGGGGAGTGGAGTGGCGAGAAAGAGTGTATCATCATCATCGTCGTCGTTATCATCACGGTGCATGGGGCAGATATCCCGTGGTGGGTGTCTACCACTCGAGATTTGACGCTTTCGTGACTGCAAGGATTCATATTCTTAGGTTTTTTCGGTAAAGTTACGTAGGTAAAAAAAAATCATTAATAAAGTAAAATAAAAATCACGACGTTTCGGAGGCAACACAAGCTTCCGTCTTCAGGTGGAACAGTCACAGCACAATAGCTGTATTAAGTGAGAGCAAAACGAAACGTCGTGATTTTTATTTTATTTTTATTAATTTAAATGTTCTACCTCCGTGACTTTACCGAAAAAACCTAAGAATATGCCTACCACTCGTTTCGTCATTTGTTTACACTTTCCGCTGTGTCTTGTAGTGCTCATATGCGTCACGTGGTGCCACATCTGTCTGACATGCAGCTTTGCATTGATAAAGGGCTGTAAATCGTTGCAATGCTACACACGTGGACTGGGAGGACGCGTGCAGGTTCGCGACACCGTCCAAACTATGAGTCGGGTACGCCGCCTCACTCAGAGGGTTGACGACGAGACTCACCATCAGAGGCTATCCCCCTCGCGATCAACGATGATTGTCCTCCATAGGACAGTTGGATTATCTGTGGGTCCGGAAAATGGCTAAGAGACCGATCCGGGAATCGGCAGACTCTGTCGCGGCTCGGGCGCACACGTGTGCCCAGAAAGGGTGAGTGGGTGGATGGGTGAGTGGGTAAGTGGGTGGGTGAGTGAGTGGGTGGGTGTGTGAGTGGGTGGGTGGGTGAGTGGGTGAGTGAGTAGGTGGGTGAGTGGGTGGGTGAGTGGGTGGGTGAGTGGGTGGGTGGGTGGATGAGTGGGTGGGTGGGTGAGTGGGTGGGTGTGTGAGTGTGTGGGTGGGTGGGTGAATGTGTGGGTGGGTGAGTGGGTGGGTGGGTGAGTAGGTGAGTGGGTGGGTGAGTGGGTGAGTGGACGGGTGGGTGGGTGAGTGAGTGAGTGAGTGGGTGAGTGGGTGGGTGAGTGGGTGAGTGGATGAGTGGGTGGGTGAGTGGGTGGGTGGGTGAGTGGGTGGGTGGGTGGGTGGGTGAGTGGGTGAGTGGGTGAGTGAGTGGGTGAGTGGGTGGGTGAGTGGGTGGTTGAGTGGGTGGGTTGGTGAGTGAGTGAGTGGGTGGGTGAGTATGTGGGTGGGTGAGTAGGTGAGTGGGTGGGTGGGTGAGTGGTTGAGTGTGTGGGTGGGTGAGTGGGTGGGTGGGTGAGTGAGTGGGTGGGTGAGTCGGTGGGTGGGTGAGTGGGTGGGTGGGTGGGTGAGTGGGTGGGTGGGTGAGTGAGTGGGTTGGTGGGTGGGTGGGTGGGTGAGTGGGTGGGTGGATGGGTGGGTGGGTGAGTGGGTGGGTGAGTGAGTGAGTGGGTGAGTGGGTGAGTGGGTGGGTGGGTGAGTGGAGGGGGTGGGTGGGTGAGTGGAGTGGGTGAGTGGGTGGGTGGGTGAGTGTGTGGGTGGGTGGGTGGGTGAGTGGGTGGGTGAGTAGGTGGGTGAGTAGGTGGGTGGGTGGGTGAGCGGGTGAGTGGTTGGGTGAATGGGTGGATGAGTGGGTGGGTGGGTGAAGGCCAGTGGCGACGTGGCAGCCGAGGATTGCAACCCCGCCAGGTGTGGACGTCCACCGAGGACTCCCCATGGGCCACAACCGCCGCTTGGTGGCTCCGTTAAACTTCAACACGTGGCTCGCCGCGGGGGGGGGGGGGGGGGGGGATCTACATATATATAAAATACGTGACATTTCAGGCGATGGGCTTTCTTCGTAGCGAATTAGAGAAGGCCACAGAGATATAGTGAAGTTGGAGGCTGTGCTATAGACCACCGTAGGGCCTGATGAGGATAAATAAATAAATACTTCCAGATTGACGGTTTTCAACTCAGTAGATTTTGAGGAATATGCACGCCTGTCAATAATGTAACATTCGGTAAAAGGTAATATTTTTAAATGTGATAAATAAATACAAATTATTAAATGTTGCTGGCACATCGCCATGGAGGAACGGCCTTGGTGGAGTCGCTGCCCCCCTATGACCCGATTCAGTTCGGGAAATCAGACCGACATTCTATGGTTCTTTCAATACGTAGATAGAAAAAATAATACCAAGAAAAGAATACAAATAAAGTGAATCTAAATATCACGACGTGTTGCGATCCAAACGTCATGATATTTTTATTCACTTTATTTCCATTATTTTATTGTTATTATTTTTTCTATCTACGTGAGAACCATAGAATATGAATCCCTGCGGTCACGAAAATTTTAAGTCAAAATCGGACCGATATCGTTTGAGAAAACGTTGCTGGCACATCGCAATCCTGGCCAACCGTGGCATCGGCCAAGGTCCCCGCAGAGACTTCTTGTCAAACTGCCCGTCAGCTTCCCCCGTGAACTGAGCGCAACGTCTCCGGCACCGTGGATCCTTACCCGGGCCCCACGCGACGAGTACGGGTCCTCGAAGAGCGCCCACAGCCTGGGCTGGCAGCGTCTCCAGCAGGCCCTGGGCTTGACGGCGTCGCTCACGAGCCCACGTCCCTTCCGCTTGCCTCCTCCACCCGAGGCCGTCCCTCCTCCTCCGCCGCCACCGCCGTCGTCGTCAAAGCCGCCTCCGCCGCCGTCGTCATCGTCGTCGTCGGCGGCCGGGAGGTCGGGTGAGTCGCTTCGAGCCTCGGGGAGATCGAAGCTGTGCAGGGCCTCCTCGGCGTCGCGGTGCTGCCGGTAGTTCATCCAGCAGCAGGGCTCCACGTCCGTCTCGTCGATGCCCCAGTAGGCGAGCTCCTCCTCGAACAGGGGGCCGCACACGTCGGCGGGGCAGTGCAGCTTGCCCGTGCGGTAGTAGTTGAGCACGTAGGCGAACACGCCGGGGTGCCGATCGAAGAAGTGCATCTCGGACAGCGATTGCGCCGCCGCCGACGACGAGGGCGGCGGAGGAGGTGGAGGAGGAAGCGGCGAATGCGGAATCGCGATCGCGGCGGCCGACGACGACGATGATGATGCCGATGACGCCGCCGCCGCCAGCGACGGCTGCAGCGTCGGTGGTGGGGACGGCGAGGCCGACGGAGCGGAGGGGCACGGGGAGGAGGGCGGAGGCGGCGTCGGAGGATGTAGAGGCGGTTCGGGGGGAAGAGGGGCGTGCAGGGGAGGGGGGGTGTGAAGCGGATGGTGATGAGGATGATGGTGATGGTGATGAGGTGGCGGCGGCGGCGGGGGGGGGCAGTCGAGCATGAGGGCGAGGCGCGTGCCGGGCAGCGTGCGCAGGGTGCTGCGGTAGGTCTCGTGGCGCACGCCGCCCACGTTGATGACGACTCGCTCCTCGTCGCACGCCACCGTCGCCTCCTCCTCCTGCTCCACGGGCACAATGGGGGGGGGGGGGGGGTGAGAGAGGAGGATGACGATGGGAAGGAGAGGGGAAGAGGAGGGAGGGGGGGATAGGGGGTGGAATGATGAGAGGGCAGAAGAGCACATGGTGGGGTGTGATTAGCCACCTTGTCATTACGTGCTCACCAACTGGGTTGCAATCATCAGAATCATCATAGTCATCAGAATCATCAGAATCATCAGAATCGTCGGGGTTTTGTTTTTCATATCGAAGCCATCGGCATCGTGGTTGTCTCTTCAACAGTGCTGCTAGCTGGTGATGCTGCTGAGTTGGCAGTGGTGCCCAAACCACCGCGACAGCTCAACACAATTGTCAACCACCGTCGCCTGCCTCTCCGACTGCACCTTCGGTAGTCCACCCCATCTCTCTTCACTCACGTCACCCTGCTGCACTACTGCTGACGTCACCCTGCTGCACTACCACTCACGTCACCCTGCTGCACTACCACTGACGTCACCCTGCTGCACTACCGCTGACGTCACCCTGCTGCACTACCGCTGACGTCACCCTGCTGCACTACCACTCACGTCACCCTGCTGCACTACCACTGACGTCACTCTGCTGCACTACCACTAACGTCACCCTGCTGCACTACTGCTGACGTCACCCTGCTGCACTACCACTACCGCCACCCTGCTGCACTACCACTACCGCCACCCTGCTGCACTACCACTCACGTCACCCTGCTGCACTACCGCTCACGTCACCCTGCTGCCCTACCGCTGATGTCGCCCTGCTGCACTACCGCTCACGTCACCCTGCTGCACTACCACTGACGTCACCCTGCTGCACTACCACTGACGTCACCCTGCTGCACTACCGCTGACGTCACCCTGCTGCACTACCGCTGACGTCACCCTGCTGCACTACCACTGACGTCACCCTGCTGCACTACCACTCACGTCACCCTGCTGCACTACCGCTGACGTCACCCTGCTGCACTACCGCTGACGTCACCCTGCTGCACTACCACTGACGTCACCCTGCTGCACTACCACTCACGTCACCCTGCTGCACTACCACTCACGTCACCCTGCTGCACTACCACTGATGTCACCCTGTTGCACTACCGCTGACGTCACCCTGCTGCACTACCACTGACGTCACCCTGCTGCACTACCGCTCACGTCACCCTGCTGCACTACCACTCACGTCACCCTGCTGCACTACTGCTGACGTCATCCTGCTGCACTACTGCTGACGTCACCCTGCTGCACTACCACTGACGTCACCCTGCTGCACTACCGCTGACGTCACCCTGCTGCACTACCACTGACGTCACCCTGCTGCACTACCACTCACGTCACCCTGCTGCACTACCACTGACGTCACCCTGCTGCACTACCACTGACGTCACCCTGCTGCACTACCGCTCACGTCACCCTGCTGCACTACCGCTGACGTCACCCTGCTGCACTACCGCTGACGTCACCCTGCTGCACTACCGGACTCCGCGTCTCTGCGGCAACCCCCTCCGTCTGGAACGCGGCGAACACCACCAAAGACAAAGATCCCCCGCATAGCCTCAACAGACCCGTCGGGGCAAGTGCCGTTCGCGAGGCCACCACCGCCACCACCGCCACCACCGTCCCCGAGGCATTTCAGGGCCCCCTCGCCTCCCTCGCCCTTGGCGCTTGGCGCTCCACTCACACCGAGCGAGGCTTCTCCCCGCCTCATTGTTCATGTCCACGATACAAGTGACGCCTTTTGGCGTCATCTGGTGCCACACCATGTGAGACTAGGCTCTAAGGAAAGCTGTCTCGGGTGTGGACCAATCAACTTCAAGGACAGTGCATACATTATCAGAGTTGTGTTTTTTGTTTGCATTATGACTGCAGGTATTGTGGTCTATGTAAACATGACTCCTTGTAAAAAAGGTGTCAGTTTTGTTGCCAGATAGAAGGGTAAAAAACCAATTATCATATTTTTACTGGCAAATGCGGTTCCAATGGTACAAGTGACATTGTTATTGTTAACTACGGGCAACCCGCACGTGCTTTGGACGTTACTGCTTCTGTCCGTCCCTCCCAGCCAGCCAGCAAAACTTGTAATCTCATACAGAGAGTCGGTCTCTCTGCACCTGCCATCCTCACGCCTTCTCTGTACTCTGCATCACACGTTCTCACGTTGTCTCTGAATTCCACTGTCCCCTCTCTATTACCTCCATGGTATCTCAACCCAGGTCATCCAGCCCAACAACTCGTTTATAATATGAGCGTACTATCATAGTCGACATTTGTTTGCCAACGGCTTCCTCTTCATAGAAGAGAAGAACGGTCAATGCCCCCAAAAATCGCCGATGAGATGTATTTTTAAATCCTTTATATTAAGTTCACTTGCTTGCTTGCTTGCGCGCTTACGACCGTGCAAATCTTTCGGTCGTTTTTTAACCCACTTCCCGAGATCCAATCGAGCTGACATTTTGCACACAGACTCGTTGTGCGTGACAATTTATTTTCGTGAAATTTTTTTTTCCAAAATTTTCAACATTTTAGGAAAAATATATATATTTAATTACCAATTGCTTAATGGTGGCAGGCAATTATCTGACCCATAGGTGGCAGCCATCTCAAGCCAGAGGACGAGAGGACTCTAGCCGTCACGCATATAAAGGATTTATAGTGAAAAACGTTGTTTTTACGGGTTAATTTTTTATTGATTCATATTTAGATTTCTCGGTTAGATCACGCACGTAAAATGTCTGTTGTACACCCTCCTCCAACGGACACGGCCAATTTCATCAAAGAGCCGTCCATAAATGACGTCACGCGATTTTGGACAATTTTTGACCCTCCCCCCACCTCGTCACACGGCGTCACAAAAAGTCAGACCCCCCCCCCTCAAATATGACGTCACAAAGCTCTGCCCCCCCCAAAAATAAAACATGCTTCAAATCGCTTTAAACTATTGTCATTGTAGTGCGTATTTAATGTGGCGCTGCACTCTGATGTCTTAGGAGAAAACATTTATTAAAAAAGTCTATTTAATTAAGTAGAACGTGTTGTCTATATTTATTTAAAGTTGCACATTTTTACGTGACGTTACATTTTTCAACCCCCCCCCCCCTCGTCACACATCGTCACAAGTGTCTGACCCCCCCATCCCCCCAGGTGCGTGACGTCATTTATGGACGACCCCCAAGTCGTCACGTCAACAAACGTATAATATTTATAATATTCATCTTCTTGGTTCTTTCGGTAAAGTCACGTAGAATAGAAATAATAAAATAATACAAATTAAACATAATAAAATACAATTCTCACGACGTTTCGGCCACAACGCAAGCAGCCGTCCTCAGGTGAAGAACAGGTCTGTCGAGAAGACACCTGAGGACGGCTGCTTGGGTTGTGGCCGAAACGTCGTGAGAATTATTATATTATGTTTTATTGTTATTATTTTATTATTTCCATTCTACGTGACTTTACCGAAAGAACCAAGAAGATGAATCCCTGCAGTCACGAAATCTTTACATAGAATTTTTTTATATTGCTTAACAACTGTCCGGAGGTACTTCTGGAAAGAATCTCACAACATGAAAGCAAATGGGTCGCGTGCGTTCCGCTGCTGTTCACAGCCAGCTTCATCAGGCGTCAGCCACAATGTCGGCAGCAGCCTGATGATGATGACGACGCTGCTGCTGATGTTGCTGCTGATGCTGCTGCTGCTGATGATGATGTTGCTACTGCTGATAATGCTGCTGATGATGTTGATGATGATGATGACGCTGCTGCTGCTAGTTGCAACTATCAGCGGCACGGATCGTCAAGCGTGGCCGTGGATCGCTCTCAATGCACCGGCGATGTGCTGCTGAGCGCTGTGATGGCACTGGCACGTCTGTTCGTCACGTGATGAACTTCATTCATCGACTCCGTCGGGTTGAAGGGGGGATTACGACACGCGTGTACTGGTAGGAAACACCTGGTTCCACCAGCCCACAGGGGATTATTGTGTCCGTCCGTCGTGCATCCAAAAATGGGAGGGGTCGGGCTGGGTGGAGAAGAGAGGGGAGGGGAGGGAGGGGCTGGGTGGGGAGGGTCTGGGTGGGGAGGGAGGGGCTGGGTGGGGGGTGGGAGTGGTGGGGCTGGGTGGGGAGCGGCTGGTCACCCCGTGGTGCCCTTATAAAATTCAACGTTTAACCTACTCACGCCGGCTTGTGCCCGCCCTCACAGTCGGGCATATTTGCGGAATACACCACGCCGCCGTTGACCCTGCAGGCCATTGACCGAGCAACCCAACGTTCCTACCAGCTCCCTCCGCAGGAATGTGTTTTTCTTGCGAGATCTGAACCCCCCCCCACCACCCGGAAAAAAACCTAAATATTGAATCGTAATATTGGTAACGAAAGCCCACCCGTGTTTCATATCTGTCCTTCCAAAGCCACGCGCCATGTTGTTACGATTGACGGAGTGCCGTGAAGTTCCGGTTCTAATATTCAGCATCAGTAGTAGGAGGCTTCCATTTTGGGGCAAAGCGATTTGCAGTCACAACGTAGCAGCACCCTCCATCGCAGTCCCTCCTCTACGCAGCTCTGCAACGGGGCAGAGAGCCTTTGGGCAAGTTTCCCCTCCATCTCTGCTCTTGCGTAACGATGACGCTAACTCGCAGAGACAACTTTACAGACGTCCCGCTACACTCCGCTCCAGGGCTCTCCAACTCCTGTCTCCCCCCCCCCCCCCCTCTTCTTCTCCCTCCTCATAGTCTCCCTGACCCCCCCCCCCCCCATGTCTTCGACCTCGCCTCTACACCCCCTGGCTTTTCACTCACACTGAGTGGCTAGGAGATGTTAACTACCTCGCCTGGTATACAGGAAGTCGTGGGTTCGATCCCGATCCCGACCCTGACGATGCCTGGTGCAGTATATTTGGAGTTTGCGCGTCTCTCTCTCTATCATCATAACGGTGGCTAGGAGATGTTAACTACCTCGCATGGTATACAGGAAGTCGTGGGTTCGATCCCGATCCCGACC